GTAGGCAAACAACATCCCCTCAATCACCACCTCCATCACCATCACCTCATCCAGTACATTCCTGAACCACAGCTACCCTTACTGTGGCTCTCGTATCCTGGGAACTTTTAAGTGGTGTACTACATATGGGATCTTTCTGTGAAGATAAACTGAGAGCCGTGAACCCACACCTGTCAAGCATGTTTACAATGTACTCGCTTCAATGACGCTACTTGGCAGTTTGTTCCACTTATCTACAACTACGTTGTCTGACCAGTATTTTTGGATATAATTTCTAAATATAATGTTATCTACATTGAATTCGTTGATGAGCTTCCTCCCCTGGTTAGATGTGTCACCATTTTATTCGTATCTCCTGCGTCTATTCTGATTTTCCATTTATATGCTTCAGTATCTCCATGGGGAAGTGGAAAAGAATTCTTCCTCCGAAAGTCATGCGTGTCCTAATAGGCAACTAAAATGCAGGGAGCAAGGGGCAGGGAGCAAGGGGCTAGTAACCCCTTCTGTATAAATTACTAGATTTAAAAAGAAAAACTTTCGTTTTTCATTTTTTGGTCACCCTGCCTCGGTGGGATACAGCCGGTGCGTTGAAAAGAAAATACTTCAGTTATATTCCTGTTACTGTACACTTTTCCAGAGAATGGAAGACGATATCTTCAGCATCCCTTCGTAGGAAAAGTTTCTTATACTCGGGATTCTCTCTCTCATCCTTCTTAATGTTTTTCCCACGCAGTTGTGTATATCCTGTAATATACATATTAAGGAGAAAAATGGTATAATATACTGACACGATGGAATAATAGGCACAAATATAGTATAATGCGATTCTTTATTGACTACGTATCACCTTCACGGGGAAACTTTATCTTCTACACTTCTACATCGAATGGTGACACCATGACCTGCACTGAGCTCTACAAAGGCCTCGATGCTGCAACAGTCAAGTATGCCTGTGAATCACCTCTTCACTTCACACTCACCCAAGTTTTTGAGTTCATCAAGCCCCTATGTTTCACCTTCAGTAACAAGACTAAACTATACCACCTCTCTAGAAGAAGCTTCAAAAAGTTTGAAAATGGCTCCACTGCAACCCTGCCTTCTCAATTACTCCTATAACTCCCACCTGTGTGATGCCCTCTGATATTCCTACCTGCCTGCCCTCTCCTGCGACCTAGAAACTGCCAGCTTCTCAAGATTCAGGCTCTCAACTACCACGAGACCGATGTAATCACAGCTTGATCTTCCTGTTTTCTCTAAGTACGTCCCACTAGCCCCTAGCAGCTGGGTAAGCCATGGCTCTTATTCTTCGACTGTGGACACTCCTCTCCACCGCTATTCGCCTAATCCTGTCTTCCCAGCTCACCCCACACGGGGTCTTACCTAAACTCTCTTGATCTTGATTTTTGCCAAGTAGCGTCACTGACTCGAGTACTCTGAATAGACTATTTAAAAATAGGTTGGACAGGTTCATGTGTGGGAGAGGTTAGGTGAAAGTAAGAACTGCCTAGCATGGGCCATTAGGCCTACCGCAGTGCTGCTCTAATCTTATGTTCTTACGTCCTAGAGAACAACAAAGCAATTTCCTGTAGAATTACCGAAAAAAATGTTAGGTAATTGGACACAGATGATGCTAGTGTGACATTTTACTTTAGACAAATGCAAAGTTCTAAACATTGGACAAGATAATAACCATGCCACATATAAACTAAATAATGTAGATCTTAATATTACTGATTGCGAAAAGGATTTGGGAATTCTGGTTAGCAATAACCTAAAACCAAGACAATAGTGCATAAGTGTTCGCAGTAAAGCTAACAGAATCCTTGGCTTCATATCTAGAAGTATAAACAATAGATGTCCTCAGGTTGTTCTTCAACTCTATATATCCTTGGTTAGGCCTCATTTAGATTATGCTGCACAGTTCTGATCACAGTATTACAGAATGGATATAAATGAACTTGAAAACGTACAAAGGAGGATGACTAAGTTGATCCCATGTATCAGAAATCTTTCCTGTGAGGACAGACTGAGGGTCCTGAATCTTCACTCTCTAGAAAGGCGTAGAATTAAGGGAGATATGATTGAGGTGTATAAATGAAAAACAGGAATAAATAAAGGGGATGTAAATAGCGTGCTAAAAATATCTAGCCAAGACAGGACTCCTTAAGTTGGAAAAATTCAGATTCAGGAAGATAGATTTTTTAGATTTTGCCACTTAAGTGGCTAGTTTATTGTGCACCCCATATCCATCCTGTGGACGGTAGCGCGAGAGCATGTGGATACACAAAAGGCCTAGGAACTAGGCCCCAAAGGGTTAACAGGAATACATATGGATTTATATCTTCATATCTATAGTTCACTTATCTGTTACAAGCAAATTTAGGAAATTTGCTTAGTATATCTGGTATCTTATTTTCATTAATAAGATATCTTGACATGTCACATAGGTTATTATACTGTCTGTCTCTGTATTCCTCAATAAGTGGACAATTAAGCACATAGTGTTCAAGACAGTGACCATATGCCTGATCACATAATTTACATTTAGTTTGATCATCATCTGTGTGTCTCCCAAACTGCCAGAAGTACTTGTAACCAAGCCTAAGCCTGGCCACTACAACATCAGTCAGTCTGTTCACATTGCAAGTTGCTCCATAAACATACTTATCTACGTTCATGTTATCATAGTGGGTTATAGATCTACTCAGGCTTCTAACTGCATTCCTATAACAATCAACTTCATTATTTACTTCTCAGGAAGGATATAGGAAAGCACTGGTTTAGTAATAGAGTTGTGGATGAGGAACAAACTCCCGAGTACCGTCATAAAGGCTAAAACGTTGTGTAGTTTTAAAAATAGGTTAGATAAATACATGAGTGGGTGTGAGTTGGACCTGACTAGCTTGTGCTACTAGGATGCCGTGCTCCTTCCTTAAGTGAATGTGACCTGACCTGACTAGGCTGGGTCATTCGCTTAAGCCGGTAGGAGACTTGGACCTGCCTCGCATGGGCAAGTAGTAATAATGTTGGAAGAATTACCGACAATGTGTTAGATAAAAGGACACAAGTGCATCTAATGTGACATTTTACTGTGGCGACGTTTCGCTCTCCAGGAGCTTTATCAAGCCGTTACAAACAATACATGGACAAAGAGGGTGAATATAGGCTCAGAGTGAGGTGTAATACTAGTGGTAGTAGTAGTAGTAGTATTAATTGTAGTAGTAGTAATATTAATTGTAGTAGTAGTAATGTTAGTTGTAGTAGTAGTAATATTAGTTGTGTAGTAGTAATATTTGTTGTAGTAGTTTCTAATATTAGTTGTAGTAGTAGTAGTAATATTAGTTGTAGTAGTAGTAATATTAGTTGTAGTAGTAGTAATATTAGTTGTAGTAGTAGTAATGTTAGTTGTAGTAGTAGTAATATTAGTTGTAGTAGTAGTAATATTAGTTGTAGTAGTAGTAATATTAGTTGTAGTAGTAGTAATATTAGTTGTAGTAGTACTAATATTAGTTGTAGTAGTAGTAATATTGGGTTGAGTAGTAGTAATATTAGTTGTAGTAGTAGTAATATTAGTTGTAGTAGTAGTAATATTAGTTGTAGTAGTAGTAATATTAGTTGTAGTAGTAGTAGTAATATTAGTTGTAGTAGTAGTAGTAATATTAGTTGTAGTAGTAGTAGTAATTAGTTGTAGTAGTAGTAGTAATATTAATTGTAGTAGTAGTAATATTAGTTGTAGTAGTAGTAATATTAGTTGTAGTAAGTAGTAATATTAGTTGTAGTGTAGTATAATTAGTTGTAGTAGTAGTATTAATATTGTTGTAGTAGTAGTAATATTGCTGTGTAGTAGTAGTAATATTAGTTGTAGTAGAGTAGTAATATTAGTTGTGAGTAGTAGTAATATTAGCTGTAGTAGTAGTAGTAATATTAGTTGTAGTAGTAGTAGTAATATTAGTTGTAGTAGTAGTAGTAATATTAGTTGTAGTAGTAGTAGTAATATTAGTTGTAGTAGTAGTAGTAATATTAGTTGTAGTAGTAGTAATATTAGTTGTAGTAGTAGTAATATTAGTTGTAGTAGTAGTAATATTAGTTGTAGTAGTAGTAATATTAGCTGTAGTAGTAGTAATATTAGTTGTAGTAGTAGTAATATTAGTTGTAGTAGTAGTAATATTAGTTGTAGTAGTAGTAATATTAGTTGTAGTAGTAGTAATATTAGTTGTAGTAGTAGTAATATTAGTTGTAGTAGTAGTAATATTAGTTGTAGTTGTAGTAATATTGCTGTAGTAGTAGTATATTAGTTGTAGTAGTGTAATATTAGTTGTAGTAGTAGTAATTATTAGTTGTAGTAGTAGTAATATTAGTGTAGTAGTTTGTAATATTAGTTGTAGTAGTAGTTAATTTAGCTTGTAGTAGTAGTAATATTAGTTGTAGTAGTAGTAGTAATATTATTTGTAGTAGTAGTAATAATATTAGTTGTAGTAGTAGTAGTAATATTAGTTGTAGTAGTAGTAATATTAGTTGTAGTAGTAGTAGTAATATTAGTTGTAGTAGTAGTAATATTAGTTGTAGTAGTAGTGGAATATAGTTGTAGTAGTAGTAATATTAGTTGTAAAAATAGTAGTAGTAATATTAGTTGTAGTAGTGTTTAGTAGTAATAATTAGTTGTAGTAGTAGTAGTAATATTAATTGTAGTAGGGAGTAATATTAGTTTTTAGTAGTAGTAATATTAGTTGTAGTAGTAGTAATATTAGTTGTAGTAGTAGTAGTAATTTTGTTGTTTGTATAGTAGTATATTTAGTTGTTGTAGTAGTAGTAATATTAATTGTAGTTTGTTGTATATTAGTTGTAGTAGTGTAATATTAATTGTAGTAGTAGTAATATTAGTTGTAGTAGAATAGTAATATTAATTGTAGGGAGTAGTATATTAGTTGTAGTAGTAGTAGTAATATTAATTGTAGTAGTAGTAATATTAGTTGTAGTAGTAGTAGTAATATTAATTGTAG